ACATTTGGAGAGATCTAACTGTGTCACGTGGCTTTCTGTCATACACAGGTAAAGATGCACCTTTGCAGCATGTGGTCCTAAAAAATGCATTGATATGAGAGATGGCTGATAACTCAGCAGCCTGCTGTGATGCTGGATCCTACTTGGCTCTCTGTGAGAGGCGCACTGCTTATTCTGCAGTCCTATCATCTCCACAACGCCATCAAGGGGACGGACCCCTGAACACTGTGTGCCTGTATAGTCATCACTCGAAATGGCACACCAGCATCCTAAATGCTGAAGGGCACATTCCGCTGTCTGATTCAGGGGACTGGGTCCCAGCACTGCATATCATTCTACTGAACACTGAAGTCTTTCAGATGCTTACCAACATACTCAACACTCAACAACGTGTACCAACAAATTGATGCTCAGTACTACACACTGATAAGCTTATGCTGCCTGTCCACATATCGCACACTCTACATTGTGAAATGCACAAAACCATAAATCAACATACTCCACACTGTGTCCCAACCTACTTAACACTCAACAGCATAGCAACATACTCAACGCTTAACACTGCAAGCCAGTATACTCTTTGTTCAACACCACACACTAGTTAAAATTCTCATGTCATATGGAAATCCATCAACAGAATTAGATGTATAAATGTCATAAAAGAACTAGAATCAAAATGATTATCAGAGTCATATCAGCATTAACATATCAACTTAATGAGCAGAAAAATGCACATCTAAGCCACGAGCACAGAAAGGATTGGCCTTACAGGATGGGCGGTGATGTGAATCAATGGCAGACCAGTTTCCGGAGGTCTTGACAGTCACATCTTCAGTCACCCATTTCTAGGTTCCCAGCAGGCCTTCTTTCACCACATTTGCTCACTTGTCATGGGGCATTTTGCTGCACATGACCAGCTGGGCCGTAAACGTGTGATCAGATCATGTAATCAGAGTCCACACGTGGGTCATTTATAGAATTTCACAAAGGCTATGAAAGGACCCCCCCCCCCCCCAAATGCAAGCGACACTTCTCCTGTACGGGGCTCCAGCTCCTGTTTGGTGCCCCCCTCCCCCCCCCCAACCCCACACAGCTCGGTCCCTCGGCTACAGGGGCCAGCGGGGGACGCATCTGTAACGTGCATGTGAAAACTTCACCTCCTACGCTTCAGCCAAGAACGACACTAATAATAATGCACTTTCCAGACGCCTGATGAAAGAATGTGCCCGGTCAGGCTGGGGCCCGGAGCTGGCGGACCATCGCACCTGTCGGAGCAACAAGCACAGCGGGATTCCATTACTGCCTGGCAAACGGCCACCAGAACCGATTCGGCGAAGATTACACATTCTCGTCAGCATCTCTCTGACAACAAGTTGCCTGTCAAAACTGTTCATGGAAAAAAAATTATGCCGCATATAGAAGAACGCACAGATGCATTACCGCTAACAGATGTTGCCTGAACCTCTGATAACACGGAATTCTTGCGCTTATGGTCAAGAGGACAAAGAAAGGCAGCACAAATACATTAGATGAACTGGTTTTTCCAGTAGGAGAAAATGGAGAAAGCATCGATATTTGAAGATGCAGGTTAAGAATTCAGCTCATTGACATTTAGAATGAGGAATTGATATTCTTTATAATCAACAGGATGACATGAATATTATGGGATAAACATGAATGATATCACATGACCACATGAGTGGGCAACCCCTGGGAATGCTGGGAAATGTAGCAGGAACAAATACTAATCAAAAGTAGTACTCACAAGTACTACTCACACAAATTTGGATGCTTCATGTCTGTATGTTTACACAAGACTGTATCTAAGCTTGTTTTATCTTGTTTTAATCCACAATGGATACAGGTGCAGTAAAATTTTGCTTTGCAGCTAAAAACACGTTAAATTAAAGAGCAATTGGTGGAAGTTCTAAGTAACTGAATGCATGCAAAGCAAAAATTTTAATGTAGGTCTTCATTAAAGAACAAAGAGTCAAAGAGCGGGTGTTTGTTGCAATGGAAGTAACGCAACTTTTAAAAAAGAAAAAAAACTCCTTTGGGGTATGAAGTTGTAAGGCATTTTGGTTCTTCGGGGAATGCTTTAATTCCAAATAACAACAACAAACAAAAATTAAAGAAATTTCTTTTCCTTCTTCAGAACAAATTGAAGTCCCTTCAGCCTATAGTTGTTCATCCAAGTGGCCTTATTCTGACGTAGCACCTACTGCAGTTTGTGAAATGCAAGATTCACAAACAAACTATTTAACCAGCATTGTCTTGTTATGGTTTGTCATATTATGCAATTTGTTTATCAATTAACTTTTAAAAAAAAAACTGCTATAGCACTTATTCATCCTGCATCTGTCCCTATCTGCCCTGTCAGAGAAGGTATATCACACAAAGATGAGAAGGTCATCTGACCAGGGAGAAAAACGAGAGAGGGGTCTAAGAGAGGAAGGCAGAACGTGAAACTATGTCAGCGTGTGTGTGTGTGTGTGTGTGTGGATTATGTTTATATTTATATGTGATAAAAACCTGTTATTTTAACGTGATGGGGACTATTTTTCTAGTATTTGTGAATGCAATCAAAAAACGAAAAATGCTTAAATGTCTCGTATTTTGTTTGGTTATTTATGGTTAGCGTTAGAGCTGGGTAGGGGTTAAGGTCGTCATGTTGGGATTAGAATTTTCCTCATAGAAATTAATAGGGAGTCCCCACAAAGATATAATTACAAACCTGCCTGTGTGTGTGTGTGTGTGTGAGGGAGAGAGAGAGAGAGAGAGAGGGAAAGAGAGAGAGAGAGAGACAGCTATGGATGGAGCGAGAGCAGGAGAG